TAACGCTGAAATTCAACAGTGGTGTTCTGTCTGGAGATGCAGTTACTTAAACCAAAGTAAGAAAACTATAAATCCGGTGATACGCTAGAAGACAGGGACACAGTGGTCCATGTTTTACAAGCACGGACCAGGTAAACACACCTGGTTTAGTATAAATATAAATAACACGCAAGTTGTTAAGCTATGAGTAGAAAAGTCTGCAAGCTGCTAGGCAAAAATCTGCAGTGTAAAGGCTAATAATGGTGATTAGCAAGTTGTAGGAGTTATAACCCCCGTCATCTTGGCTCAAGCTGGGAAGGGGGGGCCCCGCTGTAAAGAAAAGGGTGCGCTGGAGTCATAACACAAGAAAAATGGCGAAACAGCATGTGACACAATGATCGTTTCAGCTCGATTAACTTGTTTTTAGAATCGATGGAAGCCAAAATCAAAATCATGATTAAAATTAGAATAATTACACAGCCCTACTTTGTTAGGAAAAGCTAAAAAATATCTTATTTTTCTCCCATTTTTAGTAATGAGAAGTTGCAAAAGAGTTATTTTTAAAACATTTTGGGCTGCCGCTGCAGGACGGGGTCCCTTTTACTGTTTAACTGTGCTGCGTTGAGCTAAACACACCCACTTCTCCACCTGGACTCTCCTTCCTTTCTTTACTCAACCTTCTCTGTCAGACACAATCACGTTCCTGAAACAGCAGTTTGTTCCCTCTGTGCCTTCGACCTTTGCCGTCCTGAACATCAGTTGTTGAATTGTGATCCAAAATCTAAAGCTCCCAGCTGAGCTTTAATTCATTCACTTAGTTTGTCAATGATGCAGATTACATGTGATTTGTCTTTAAGGATCAGTTTTCAGAAATCAATAAACTCCCTAAACCAATGTGAGACTGACCGAGCAGATCATTATTAATTAAATGTGTGGAATCTGAGGTTCAATTCAAATTTGAGTCCATATTTTTCTAATATCCCAGTGCCTTAAAACTTTTTTCCTGGCCATTTGGCAACACTGACATATTAGAATTTTTTATCATTTGCTTTGTGCAAAAAATTAGCAAACCATTGCCTATTTACACGTCCAGCAGACACAGAGCTGCTTTTGGAGTGATTCTGAGTTTCATCCAGTTGACGAGTCCAACATTTTTAGTTCTGTTTTTGTCTTCAGAGAAATGTGTGTGGCTCTTTAGCTGCTAGCGCTATGTTCATTAGCTAGTGGCTTACTTTGTCTGTCTGACAAACAAGGTTGATGAGTGTGGAACATTCACATTAGAATAAACAAAGTAAATAGCTAATGCTGGCCGATTCGCCCCTTCTTACAATCGCCGTGGTGTCTCCGAGCCAAGGATGGTCAGAACTGATCAACGGCCCAAATGATTCTGTAGTGTGAGGGGTTTACGGACATACTTATAAGGTCACCGACTGGATCGAATCGTACAAATCAGAAGTTTCATACTTACAATTCGAAAATGGGAAGCCTGCAATCAGAAACCCGCAACAGCCAAGGAGAGCGAGCTGACCGGGAAGCGTCACCAACGTGTTGTGTATTTGCATGCGCTATAAAAAAGTATAAACCCTGCTGGTTCCCTCTTGACATGAGTTCCTCGAGTTCATCTACAGTTTTATTTTTGTTTTTTTGTTCTTCTGTGCAAAACATAGCACACACAAGTGCAACCAGCTGACAATGACAGTCTGCCTCTATTTTTGGTTATGTTTGAAGTCACGTTTGATCACATGAGTTTCTGTGAGATCCCAAGTCCCCGGAATCGTTAGTATAAACGCCAAGTGTGTGGTCCTGCGTCTAGACTGAACAATCTGGGTTGTGCGATCTTAAGTTAAACTGTTGTTATGTCTGTGGAATCCCACGTTTTTAAAATTGGTTAAGATTTAAAAATCATCTTGTGTGTACCAGACATAATAGAGTCTGTAAAGCTGATGGGGGACTGCTGATTTAACAGTTTTTCACTGCAAGCGACCCTTTCACATCGTCATTGTCGTCATCTACAATATTGAACATCTACTACTAAATACGAAACGATAAAAGAGAAAAGAAACATTTAGACGTGAAGAACGGCCCTGGTTTTATCTTTTGCAGGACACTGAAGGGTCGCATCCCCAAGAAGCTAGTTCATAAAATATGTTGTCAGGGTCTGATTAGTGCAGCTTTAAAACTTTTTTTATTTTCCAAATTGTGTTCAAAGCGAAACCAAAGATCTAATTAGTATGTTTGTCACCCAAGTCATGACGGCCTGTAAAACAAAGTTTAAAATGACCACGATTTGCGGTTGACACAATGACATTTTGTGTGAAATGGACACGCACCTGTCAGGTTACAGATTAGCTAGACCTTACAGTACATTTAGGTAAGTACAACAGGTGATCTGCCACCTCTAGGGGTAAGGTTCGGCTTGGCACAAAAACTACTTGGTTAAAGTTACTGCACTTCAGCAGTTTGTTAGGTAAATGCAACTAAAGGTCATTTTATGCTTCTGAAACATAAACAAATGCGGTCGTTCTTCGTTCTTCTTGTAGTTTTGTGGTAGAAGTAAGGTTTAAAGTTAGATGTTAGCCTGCTTTTACACACTTGTCTTGTCTGTGTTGTTGGTGGGATGTAAGATTACATAAAAACTGACTGTTTTTAAAGACAAAATAGACGGGTGTCATCACTGCCCACTTAGCTGCACCCCCGCTGCCAGCGCCAGGATGCCCGGCAGCGCCAGACTCTGCCGCGAGGAGCTTTCTGGCTCTGGACGTGACATTATGATTACAGGATGTTGAGCGGGTAATCGGGTCTCCATGGTTACACCGTGACATTTTGGGACTTTGATTCATCAACGGGTTGAGGCTTTCTGCCGCTGTCGCTGCCAAGACAGCTGGTGGTGAGGTCACAGAATCTGCCAGAGGGGCCTTTGTGTGTATGTGTGTGTGTGTTACGTTGTCTGGTAGAGGTTGGGAAAAGAAAGAAAGGTAAGAAGAAACCAAAAGAAAGAGAAAGAGAGAGAAGGGATGTAAAATAAGAGAGAGCTGGTGTCATCCTGTTGAAGAGGGAGACAGTGGAGGACTCTGGAGAGATCTCACAAAGGGCAAAACATTTGGCCAGGAGCTACTCAACACACTAGTTGCAATTTCGAGTTTGTGTGTGTGTGTGTTGCAGGTTATGGTGTTTTTTTTTTTTTTGATCAAACATGCATAATTTCTCTACTTCATCGCTGACATGTCGTATATAACCAGAGTAAAATTCAACAGCCTCTGCTCATGCCAACCTTTTGAAGTCGCTGCACTGAGCAACTTCAAGAAGAAAAAAAAATAATGATGAAATTCTGGTGAAATTTCCCTTTAAAATAGATTTCCACAGATATAGAGAGGCAATCTCGTCTCCACCCATGTTATTTCTTCCTCCTCGCCTCCTCTGTTGCTTCATATCTCCTCTATTTCACCCGTCATCTCCTTCCTTTTTTATCCGGAAAACGTTCTGTGTTCGTCCCTGCCTCTCTCCTTCTCTTCCTCCTTTCCACCCATTCACACACCCATCATCCCTCGTCCTCACAATAAATATCACCATATATTTTTAATTCATCAGGTTAAAGTGTACGTATTAAGGAAGAGCTGAACGAGAAGCCAGGATATCATAGGCAACTCAAATAGAAGCAAAGACTGTCTTTAGGAACCAGAATGATCCTCATTACTATTATTAGAAGTCTCTTATTATTATTATCGTTATAATTATTACTAGTATAACTGTTATTAGGATAAAATAAAGTTCCTTGGCCCTTGTTGATGCAGAGAGAGAGGGTGCTGGCTATCCACAGCAGAGCAACGGTTCCATGCCGTTTGCTTTCATCCCAGTGATTCGGTCGGCGTTAAATCCATCAAAATCCAGAGTTAAAGGGGAGGTTATTCCATCGGTCCACTCAGATGTTTTGCAATTGTAAGTTAGTCACATTTCATTTGGCTGAGTTTCACGGTAGCTCCATTCAAATGCAGGATTTAATTCCATTTTTAATCCATTACACATTTGAAGCTTGGTTAAAGGGAAAGACAGCGTCATGTGTTGAAAACCAAACAGGGACTTTTAATGATATTTCCTGTCCGAAAAAGTCACTTTGGCTACTTGTAATTCCATACTAGTCATGCCTGTTTGATTCTCCCAGAGGAAAGAAGAAAAATATGTACTCTCCTCTTAACTCTTCTCCTGAGGCATGAAAATGGCAGATGTTTTTGAAGACAGTTGTTTGTGAAAGCCATGACAAGTAACCTGGACCTGACCGTGAATATGATGTGCTGAGAGAGCTGCATGGACAACAGCAGAGCAAGTCAGAATTGCTGCCAACTTGTCCCAGGTGTCCACAGCAATATGTCAACAAAAAACTACATCAGCAGCTCAAATGCTGTTTAGCTGCCCTTCTTAGCCAGATCTCCCTTGAAAAAGAGACTATATCTAAATGGGCTTTCTCCTGGTTAAATAAAGGTTTGAGTGTTTCATTAGTGTAAACTATCCCCAGAGACTAGAAAAGCATTTTTCTATGTGTGTGATGTTCTTGTCATGTAAAGTCTCGAGCGGGAAAGGCTCATGGAAAGAGACAGTAACGAGTGTTAGCACTGGGCTGCTGACCGTGGAGTTTTTCCAGTCAAATAAATCCATGCTATTTTGGGATGTCATGAACTTGACATGATCTCGGTTAAAAGAAAGGCCAAAATCTGACTGACTTTCAAATTGCTCAGACGCTGAAGGACGTGACAAAGCCTAAGTATTTGACGGGAATAAAAACGGGCAGATAACCAAATGTCAGGCTGTCTTCGTGAACATCTGCCATTTCTGGACCGTCACTCAACCGCTCCGTTCTTGTTCTCTAGAATTCCACTGTTGAATTCTGGAATCCATCCACCTTGAGTTCCAGAACAGGTTCCGTTGGGTTCTCGTCCCCCCTCCTCCCTCCGCCTTTCTCTCTGTCTCTCTCCCTCTGAATGCAGCCATTTGCAAACAAAGAAACACAGTTTGGTTGTCCGTCTCTCCTATAGCTGTGTGGTGACAGAGTCCTCTATGACCTCACAGCTGTCCTCTATGACATCGTCGCACGGTCCCACCCACCCGCCCATCATCATAACCCCTCCTCTTCCCCCGCCTCCATCCATGCCGCCCTCGCCCGCTCCTCCCACGCCTCCGCCCTGGAAAACGTCCTCGCTGGAGTCCAGGAGGCGCGAGCTGGACTCGGACATGTTGGAAGCACAGTGCAGGGATTGGCAGGGGCACGGGGGCGGGAGGGGCAGCGTCAAGAGCGAGTCCCGCCCGTTCGTTCTCCGCGGGGAAAACGAGGGGTTATTGATGTCGACTGAGAGGCCCACCTCGTTCAGGTGAGTCTCGCTTCTGGTTACGTTACTGAGACCAAAGTCGGAGTGGCTGTGGCCCCCCAGGGGGCGGAGCAACCCGTCTGAAATGGTGTAGGAAGGTGGGGACTGGAGGGGGAGAGGCATGGGTGGTGCTTTGCGCTTGGAGCGTGAGAACAGGTAGGAGAGGCGCTTGAAAGAGTCTGTCTTTGCGCTCGGAGTTGAGATGCGCTGCAGGCGGGTCCTCGTACGAGCGAACGATGAGGAGAACGACGAGGAGAATGACGGGGAGGGGAGGACGGTGGTGGAGGATGGAGGGATGACGGTTGTCTTCAGCCCGTTGCTCTTTGGTTTCCCCTCCTCTTCTTCCTCCTCTTCCCCCCATCCAATGCCCTCCTCCAGCTCCCCCTCCTCACCTTCTCCCCCTCCTTCTATCTGAGTCATTCCAGAAATGGAGCGCACCAAGGCAGACACGCCGTGCGTGGGTGTCGGCTTCACGTCGTCTTCCAGCGGGGTCATGAAGGTCACGCCCTTTGACCTCTGGCCACTCCCTCCACCGCCGTCACCCGATTCGCTGTCGTCCTCTGAGGCCATGGCGCCATCGTCTCTTGCTGTCTCGCTGGAGGAGGAGTAATGTCGCCGGGGAGGACGCCGGTTCCCAAGAAGATCGAGGACCTCGTAGCGGAAACTGGAGATGTCTTGCTTCAACTCCTGGAAAGAGACAGAGTTAAAACGAGTTCATATGATGGCGCACTGTTTTTTTTGTGAAGATAAATTAAATTGTCTCTTTGTATTTTAAACTACAGGTATAAAAGAAGAGAGATCAAAGTAAATATTGGAGAAAAGTATAGCACAGCACAGTCGAAAATAAAAATATAAAAACAAACAACAACAATTGAACTCAAACTAAAAGTCAAATTTCCCTTTGAAATAAAACTGTCATGTTGAGCCAAGAAATTTAATTATACATATTATTTCAGGAAGGGCTGCAAAGTTTATTCTAAAGCTTTATAAACTGCTATTCAGGGGAAAACATGAGCGAAAAAACAGAAAAGGAGAAGGTGAGGAGGCGAAGTGGAAGAGAGGAGAATGGTGACTGAATGAGAGAGGGGAGGTGAAACATCAATTTGTAGAGGCAGAGGGTGAAGAGGAGGGTAAGGACTCAGGGGGATGGTTGTGAAGAGAGGGAGATCGAGGTTGAGAGACAAGCAACAGAGAGAGCGGATAAGTGGAGAAAGTGAGATAAATGTGTGCCTGAAGAGAGAAAGAGGGGTCGCTCAAGTAAACTCTCTCAATTTGAGAAACTGCCTCATTCACTTATAATTAATTCATTTTAAGGTCTTTACCTCCATGATCATGAAACACACCGAGGCGCAGACCAGTGTGAGGTTCAGTGCAAATGAAAGTAAATATTATATTCTTTACATTTTATTAAAAAAATCATATATATCCCAAAAATTTATGGTGATTAATATTTGTCTTGTGAAGTCACATCCCAGCTACCACCCCGATGAAGGTAACGCTGTGTGACGTGTCTAATGTAAAACATTAATAGTGATATTTCAACCCTGAAGCTAATCAGGTGCAGCGTTTAATTAACACATAACATGCTAGGACATCATTATAATTGAATGTCATTTCTCCCTCCCAGTCCATCTTCATTTAGTAATTTATTTCACATTTTTCAGATAAGCGCTGTAACAATTAGCCTATTAATTGATTCATCTTTTCGGACATTTATCATCTAGAAGTGGAAAACATTCTCACATGTGAGGATTTGTTGCTTTGTTGCAGAGGGACGGCTGTGGCTCAGGAGGGTTGTCAGCTAATTGGAAGATGGGCGGCTCCTCAAATCTACGTGTCGAAGTGTCCTCGGGCAAGATACTAAACCCCAAATTGCTCCTGATGGCTGAATATTGATTTCTGTTCTGATGCGCAGTTGGCACCTTAGCCTCTACCATCAGTGTATGAATGTGTGTAAATGGATGAAAGCGATATAGGCTTAGTGTAAAGCACTTTGAGTGGTCAGAAGACTAGAAAGGCGCTATTTAAGTACAGACCGTTTATCATTTTCTTGTCCTTTTATTGTGGCCAGCCTAAGGCAGACCTGTGTAATACCCATGCAGCATAGATGGGGACTCGAGTTTGAGACTCGGACTCGAGTGCGACTTAAGTCGCACACACAGTGACTTCAGACTCGACTCGGACTCGAGGTGCGGGACTCGTGAACAATGTTTATTTTTTAGGAAACGTCTGATGAGCTTGCCGTTATTCCCTCCCTCCGTTCCCTATAACCTGCTTACGTAACACGTAACATCTGCTGCGCGCAGCCGCATGTGACAGAGGACAACAAACACCGGCAGCTGCTCCGCAATTATTCATAAACTTTGGCTTTAAAACTTCATAATACAAGACCCAAACAAAGAAGCGCTGAACGCAAATATGTGGTGAGTGAACATGTTTAGCTCAGCATTGGCCATCTAACGTTAGCTTGCTTCTTGCTTCAGCTATGAGCTACGGGAGGTTAACTCGTTATGAAAAGATGAACGAGCGTTTGTTTACTTGCCAAACTTGGTGGTCGGTTAACGTAATTATTTACGTCCCGCTGGCTGCCATCACGTTAATTATTACTGTTTGCTAGAAAGAGGTTACAGGTTTATTGTTGATCATGTAGCCTTACAGTTTTATTTAGTTATAACGTTACACTGGTTTGAGAGTCTGGTGATGTGTTGACTTACAGTAGTTTAAGCTGTCAGTGATTGCATTGCACATTATGGTTGTGCTCTGTAAGTTAAAAACAGGTTACAGTTTATTGATTTGAGAGTCAGGAGGATGTGTTGACTTACAGTAGTTTATAAGCTGTCATTAACTGCATTGCACAGGTTGTGCTCTGTAAGTTACAGCTTTATTGTTGACTATGTAACGTCACAGTTTTATTGACTTAACAGTATTTAATAAGCTGTCATTAATTACATTGCACATTATTATAAAACAGGTTAACAGTATTCCTTATAGCTATGCAGTTTTTTGAGACTTGACTTGGACTCTAGCTCAAAGACTTGTGAGCATCTCTGCCATGCAGTCTGATCAGTATCTTGATGTGCCACACCTGTGACGTGGATGGATTATCTCAGTAAAGGAGAAGTGCTCTCTAACACAGAATTTTGACAGATTTGTGAACAATATTGGAGAGAAATAGGCCTTTTGTGTACATAGAGAAAGTCTCAGATCTTTGAGTTCAGCTCATGATTAATGGGGGCAAAAACAAAAGTGTTGCGTTTATAATTTTGTTCAGTGTAATTATATAATTGTAAATTGAATAACTCTGGGTTTCGGTCTGTTGGTTCGAACTAAACAAGCAATATGAAATGCAGCCTGTCTGATTCACCACATGGCCAATGTAAATGGCTGCTTTTAGCTTATCACAGATATATAGTTGTCCAATAAGTAACAAGAAACACAACTACAGATAATTTAGAAACAGCGTCTTCGATTAGTCCACCAGAGAGAACTAGGAGCTATGAGCGAAATAATCTCAGCAAACTTGAATCCTTTTGTTTTTTAAATATTATCACAGCTACTGCATCTTTTTTCTTTTCCCCCTCGCCATATGGGATCCAAATGCTGCACACGTGGCTTTATTCCTCGGAGGATAAAACAGTGATTTACTTCAACATGCACCTGATATTAGTTACACTTCTTTTCAACACACACTTTCTGCAAATGCACAGTCACACAAACACACTCAGGGTGTGAAAGAGATTCGGCTCGATGTGCACCTGATGTTGTTTTTGCACTGAAAAGCCCAAAGGAACTTTCCACTTCAAAGCCCAGGCTGGGCTCCAGAGGCATCATGGGAAACAAGATTCGGGCGCTAAAACAGCTCAGAATAAATTACGGCTCAGATGATTTGGAAAAAGCAAAGAATCTCTTCTCAAGGATCGTCGACTATGAACTGTTGGTATTGATCGGAGATGTAGTTTTTGTGGCAGCAGACGAAGAGAAGAAGTGCTGGAGAGTCTGTAGTTTTCATCATTTAATGAATATTTGTAGCGATGAGGCACAGCTCTGCCTTTGGTATCAATAAAACATGCACAGTCACTGGAGCACCTGATTTTCCGCAGACTCAGCTACAAACTAATATAATTTACAGCAAACCAATTGACAAACGTATGTTGTATGTATCGTTTGAACTCTGTAGTGTGTGAGCAGAGACAGTCAGACAGCCTTAAACCAAAACAAGATTCAGATACACTGCTGGCGGGTGTAAACACCCTAAGGATTTCTTTCTCTTTTTGATCTTTCAATGTTTGCTGTCATCTTTTTTATTCCTTTTTTACTTATTTATTCATTTGGATCACCATCACAACAGCTGCTTGTTTCCACCTTAAAGCACCCACCTTAAAGTTCTCCTCCGTCAGTCCCTCGTCCGTCTTGGCACTGCGTATCATGGCCGCCACGTACCTCTTCACCAGGCTCCGGATCACTTCCTGTTGGAGGCAGTTGCAAAGATTACTTAACATGCTTAGTTAATTGTTATTTGACTGTTTTACAGTTTGAAAACCTCTGATCAACAGAAAATATTTGAGTTGTGCGTTAACTCTATTATTGTTGTATTAGTAGAAAATGATTTAGAAATGTGCCATTAAAGCCTGTAAAAGTCTGGCTCTGAATTATACGTTACATATCACTTATCTAGAGGCCAAAGATCTTTGTTCCCTTGTACACTGGTTGTTTGGCTGATTTAAAAATATTCAGGCCAAAAGTGAGTCTCTTTTTCTTTTGTGTTGAACGTACTGTGATGAATCAAGTGTGTCAATGTTCATAAAATAGCTTGACAAAACCCTGGAATAGATTGTGAAAAATCTGAATGGCTTTTATTTTATTGTTGTTATTTTCATCTTTTGCTCTCTGCTCCCTTACACTAGTGTTTTTGTGAATGATGTGTATGCAGTAGTTTATATCTGTTTTTTGTTGAGCTTTTTTCGTTTATGCTTGTTCTGTGTATGTACAGCGATGGACAAGACCGGAGTCACATTTCTTGTATGCGCACACATACCAGGCCATTAAAGCTGATTCTGATTTGTTCTGATTTCTCCAGTATTATGTAGTAAATACATTTTTGTAGAGATGGTCTCTTGATATTTTTATTGTATTGTTTGACATTGTATTGTTTTCTGGCTTGCATAAAGCCCATGCAGGTTGGACACAGCCGTAAAAACTTCATTCAAAAAAAAAAAAGGTTTTATATAAATGTTAGGAAAAATGATGGGCCAGGGAAGAATTTACACTCATGGTTGTCAGTGTTTGTTAATGGTAATGAATAAAACCATTAGTGATCATTTGACACCTGTTCACTTGCAGATTAATTGAACCTAACCGATGAATTTAAATGTTATTGTCTCATTAAGTAATCAGCCAATGAGGCGGGTGACCCTTATTGATTTAAAGACCAAAGACAAATTTCACCAGCATTTGGTGCTCAGTGGGTGGTAATTCAAACCCTGACACACTGCTACAGTACACACACACACACACACACACAGTAGCACACTGCATCCTCCCACAGTCAACACCTGTGACTGCCAAACGGGATGGTCTGGCATGCTGTCACTCTCCGCCTCTGCCAAACACACCACACACTAAAATGAAGGGCAGATTCCTACAACAATTCTTAAAAGCATGGACGGTGATCAAAGTGACAATCGGCGCTGCCAAACACAAAGTACTGGCTTTCCTGCGTTTGTAGTTGCTGCCAGTGCTGAGGTGTCAAAATAGATCTCGGTCTCTGTTGATTTGCTGAAAAAATGCGTATCCACAACACTGGACATCAGAAATGCTGTCATGGCTGCCAAAAACAATAATCTGTGTTTCTGAAGAGTTTAAAGAAGGTGCTCACTCTCATTTTAATTTATATCAGAGGACCTTGCTGCGGTTTTCGCTGCTGTTGCTTTCACTTTTGATGCTGAGACGATAAAACCCTCTCGAGCTTACTCGCTGCTGTAAAAAAACAGACTATAAACTACGCCTTGAAAAAGTGGTATGAGTTTCATGTTATGCTTCTGTTGAGACTCAGAGACAGACTGAAAAGAGCCCTTGACCAATACACCGATCCATTTCACCTTCTACGCTTAACACTGAACCATAACATAATTCATCTGACATTGCCTTCAGTGCAAGACCTCAGAGTGCTGTATGAGGAGCAGGAGAGCACTTTCTTTACCTGGACGGACACATTTCTGTGGCCGGTAGAGTGTGAGACTCATGTTTTAAGTACGTTAATAAAAGTAAATATTTGATGCTCATGTCTGTCAGTGCCTGTTTCGTTTGTAACCTGCACGAGGACGCACATCCCCATGAAATTAAAGTGTAGCAATGCGACAGCAAAGGCAGTGAAGAAGAAGACAGCAAGCTACAAAACATGAACATAAACATTGTAAGATTTAAAGAGTAACTGAAAGGACTTGTACCTCAATTTGCACTTTTTAGACATGTTTTTATGAGTGGGTCCCTCGTATTGTTTGTATATGTACAAACGGTTAAAGTGGTGTAATGTAGGACTGTGCTTAAATACAAAGTTAAGGTATTTACTTGAGTCTTTTCTATTCATGACAATTGATGTTTCTAGTTTCTATACAAATTAAGACTTTTGCATGTGCTGTTATTAGTTAAACTACCCACCAGTTACATAAAGTACAGCTGAAACAACTAGTTTATGAATTGTTAGAAAATGAATTGGCAACTATTTTGATAATAATCAAACCATGTTAAATGCAAAAAAAAATGTTATGGTTCCAGCTTCTTAAATATGTGGATTTACTGCTTTTCCTTGTGATTATTTTAATTCATCTTTATTTGTGCAGTCTGTGTGTGACAGTGAGAGACAATGGGTGTAAAAGGGTTTTACAACTTTTTGGACTGTTTCTGCTGTGTCACAGAGTGGTTTGTTACAGCCCCATTTAAACTGGCTTTAGTAACGTTAGATAGCTCTGGTGGTTTAAATTTCCACTGACTGAATGTTAACAAGAGTGAGATCAACTCATGTTCTTCTAATATGAAATATTGAGGTTTTATTTGCTGTCAGACTCCAGCGCTCTTCACCAGTCTCAGGTAATATTTCCGACATTAAAAGAGTTGCGTCTCACTGACAAAAAGGAGGCCCGGTGCAAAAAAACACACAAGCGTACCCTCCAATTTAATTCCTTTTTTGTCTACAAATGTCCTCAGTTCACTTGATTTTACTTTGCCAGCAGCTGAAAATCGATTACATTGTTATTGACTTAAAATTTCCAAAGTGGACATATGTGGACTAAACCAAGAAATTTCAAAGTCTGAGACTGTGGGCGTCCCCTCAGACAAACCTTGGGAAAGGCGGCCCCTCACCCTCAGTTAGTTTACTTGCTTAGTTTTGCTCTATTCCTACATGCATTATTATTGTTATTTGATCCTCTATACACTCAACAATTGAGCCAAGATAGCCTAATATTGCTGTTTGACATCTTTAACCACATCACACATGTAGGCTTTTCTATGTGATGTCGTAATATTGTTTTACTTCAATTCACTGAGCCTCCCCTGAAACAGTTTGGAGCCAACCTGGGGAGGCCCGCCTCACTCGTTGAAAAACTGCCCAACAGGGAGATTTAGTACTGAAGCTGGTCAACAATATTTCCTCCCGCGTCATCACTTTCAGTACAGGCAACATAAAGAAGCGTACAGAGATGAAGCCTGGATCATGGGCCATGTATTCATTATAGTGTTAGTTGGTTATTAGCATTAATGATAGGTGTGGTCAGAAGTGATCACACCCAGCAGTGCAAGTCCACATCACTGCAGCAAGGTGACAAGTTAAACCACTGGAGGTCAGCAGTGACAACAAGAGGTCGCTGGTAAGTGGAGTTTGATAGCCAAGCTAGCTGTTTCCCCATGTTTGCTACTGATCTTCTCTTCTTCTCATCTCTCTAAATCTCAGGCATTTCTTTAAGTTGGATTCGGGACATTTCAGGTTGGATCAGATACTGGACTGCTGGGGGGATTGTGTTCTTCTGAAGACCTCTAGCACACAAACAAACACACCTCTACACACAGTAAACAAACAAACATGAAGCTGTAACGGGTATACAGACCTGGTAATGCTGATTCTGTATCAGACTGTCAGCGTGGCGTTCCTGCAAAGAGAAAAATAGATCATGTTAAACATTGTTTTCTTTCTTTTTCTCCACGTGCTTTCAATCCTCTCTGTGGCTCCTGTGCTTTCAGTTACCTTGTTTTCCTCTCAGACAACCCGGTATTACATCAAACTTTCATTCTGAAATGAATTTTGTTTTAAAAAAGTGACGCAAAAAAAAAAAAAGATTAATAGCACCAAACTTACACAAAAGAGACCAGGTGACAAATTGCTTTTGGCTGACAGAATGGCACTTTTTTACAGGAGCTGAGTAATAAACTCCCATAAATCATTTTTCTCCACTAAAAATGTATATGGGACATTTTGGAGAGAGGAGTTCTGCTTTTCATTTACATTTTAGCAATGATCACAATGAATCACAATGATCTAAATGACAGATATGACCAAAAATGTGAGTATGTTCTCTTTGAAGCGCTCTTCTCACCTCATCGAGCGATGGAACCAATTGAATCAAGTGTGCTGAGAGCATCCAGGTTATTTTTAGAGACCTACAGCATTAAGCCTTAACCATATAGCTGGTAGAGTTTTTTAACTCTGCAACTGATGCTGCAGAGCTCAAGTGAACTTTATTCGGGCAGCGTTTCATGCTTCACAAAGGAAGATGATGAAAAGAGGAAATATGAGAAACAACATAACTTGACAAATGTGCATCCAAAGCTGTGTAGTTTACATTTGCACTGCTTCACTTGTACCTATTTTGGTGGGATGATTAAATACTTTGATGGTAAATATTTTAAAGATCGGCCTCACACCAATTTCTAATCCTATTTTGTTTCAACCCTTTCTCACTGCCAAGTGAGAAATGGACAAATGGTCTAGACGCGTTAGCGTCATCGTTCACCGAGGGCAGCCCTGTAGCGTCACTTTTGAAAGCTAAAGGGAGGTGTAGGATATTTAACAGAAAAGTCAGAGTAAGGAGGGGGTTGGCCTTGATGGAGGACCAGAAACAACACTATCAACCAGGAGACCAGTGTTTGTTTACCGTGTATAACAAAAAGTTAACATTGAATGTTTTTATTAAAGTTAAGTAGTTAAGTGGTGTATGTAATGTAGCTATTTTAACCCAAACCATGATCTTTTCCTAAATATAACCAAAAAATAACGCTAAAGGTGTATCCAGGGCGTTAAAAAACGACGCCAAGGGGTCTTGGCCAAGGTTCTTGACCAAGGGTCCATATGTGAGATGTTGGGAGTGAGAATTAGTAGTTCATCTTTATTTTCCTCCTGAAAACAAGTGTGTTACATATGTGTGTTTACTGAATCACAAATTATTTTTTAAAATTCACTGAGCTACTCCACGTTCTTTTCGATGTACGTGTACACTTTGGTATGTACATAACCCTGGAAAATACTGAGTGCACGTATCTTTTATGTATTACTGAAGTTAATGTGGGTGATTGCTTTTTCTCTAGAACATGATGATACCTCTCTTTTGGTGCTCTGATAAGAGTTCGTCAGCATAAGGAAGGAAGTGATAAACTGAGGCCATGCTAAGACTTTTGAGTGCTGCTAAGTTTTAAGATGCCTCGGAATAATCACGACTGATTTGGTTTTCTGAGACGGAGGTAAATGGAAAACTGTCTCGCTCAAGGACACTTCATCAGTTACACTCACGACGCTTTGGTTATGTGAATGTCTGTCTTGCTGTCTTGTCAACAACACTCATCAAAATCAAGTTACCAGCGATGCGTTCAGGTGCCATCGTGTTGTGTTTTCTATGAAAATATCTAGGGTTTTATATGTGTTTATTTTGAATATTAATAATCAGGCTCAGGTTTAGATTAAGAGTTGGTCCCCGGGCGCTGTACAGTGGCTGCCCACTGCTCCCATTACTGTGGATGGTTTGAATGCATAGAACGAATTTCACTACATATAGTGTGTATGTGAAAACAAAGTACCTAAATAAAAGTATTAGCATCAAAATATACGCAACAAAAATAAGAGTGCTCATTATTCAGAATGACCCATTTCAAAATACTGTACATTATATTATTTATTTGTTTATCACTTTAAATGGGACCTATTACGCGTTTTCATATTTTCTGGCATTTCTATTATGTTACATTGTCAGATGTTCATGTTAAACATGGCCAAAGCTTCAAAAAATGAGGTTACAGTATTTAAAAGTAAAACCTCAGATACCCCGCTGTTCTGAATGCTCTGTTTTAAACAGTTTTTTCTACTTTCCACATACGGACATTTGCTCCAGGCAGAGAATGCTGGCCACGCCCACAAAGGAACATGTAGCCCTATCCCTGCGGCAACCTGGTAAACACATAAGACAATGGCCAATCAGAAGACAGTTGCCTTTGGAGGGAGGGGCCTTAAAGCCCCCCTCCAGTGTATTTTGACATTTCTATGATATTTCATATTTTTCTGAGTCATTTCCTTACAATGTTGATTACCCACATAGTCCGGCAAATAATTTTTGACAAATAGCTTAATTTTGTGCTCAAAGTTGCAAAAGTTGCTTAGTTGTTAAAACGGGATGGTAACGTACGACTATAGTAATTCCATAAGTCATACGTCATTCTCCAAGCTTCCGCAGGCGCACTGTCACGCCGTCACGCCTCGTTAAGTCAGAGCATCAAACCGATAAACATCGTTGTGAGCTAGCTAACCAAGTTATCATGTGATTTACTTGGACAGATGACACTTGAAACACTTGCCACTGTCTTATATTGAGTCTGCAACATGCATTTTACTGATGGCTGTTTTACCAATGCATTGGCAGAGGCAATGGTATCAGAAGTCTTTACATACAGTTCAACAGAGTAATACCCCCCGCGGTACAGTAAGCACACCATAAAAGTCCCGTAGGGGGAGTTATCGTGTGCAGTGCGTGACAGGACCATCGACTGTATGATTGATAACAGCTGATACTCGCACGTTAGTTTCTATCATGGGTAAGTAATAGCTACTCCTGCCAGACAGTGTACTAAACTTCACAATGTAGTGATGTTAACACAGCATATCGTTAGTGAACACTCCAGCCAGCTAGTCTTTGGTTGTCATGGTAATGTATTACGTCCGACTATTAACCACACCCCCGTTAACCAAAAACGGCAGTTAAAACTGTCTGGAGGGGGCTTTGAAGAGACAGGAGCATCTACAGCTTGTTTCAGACAGAGGCTGATATGAAGGCCTGCATGAAGTTCCGCTGTAAGATTGAAAAAGCTGCCATAGAGGAGACACAGAACTACAATATAGGGTTGGAAAGGCGGTATAATAGGTCTCCTATTGCAGCTGGTAAAGGTGGATCTTTTTGTATATACTGATGGGTAGATATCAATAAAGTTTTATCTTTGTCCATAACAATACTTCCTAACTTATTTGTTGATTATATTTTGTATTAATTATTTGAATCTACAGAGTAACTACAGTTATCAAATACATGTTCCGGAGTAAAAAGTATCGCATTTCCCTCTGAAATGTAGTTGAGGAGAAGTATAAAAAGGAAATAATCAAGTAAAGTACATGTACCTCAAAACTGTATAGTACTTACTGGTCAGTTGTAACTCAGTGTTTCCCTCATGTTAAGAAGATTAAACACTATCTTTGAGTAGAAATTGTAGATTCTATTTGTTCACTGTCCTTCATTTTGTGTTGTTTTTCAGATATACCTACAATATCCACACATTTCATTTTCTTCTGTCTCACACACACACACACACACACACACACACACACACACACACACCCATCCATCATGCCCATATCCCCTTCTGCTCTTTTGATTAATATCCTCTCTCCACATTTTCATGTTGTTCTCCATTTCAGTCCCGTATTCAGCGTCTCCCCTCTCTGTCTCCATTTCCCTTTCATCATGTTTCACACTCGTCTAACTTGTCCACTTTTCTAATTTGTCATTCACTCTCTCCCTGCTGTCCGCTAACAAATGCACACACATTTATGCCTATGACTATATATATATATATATATATATATATATATATATATATATATATATATATATATATATATATATATATATATATATATATATATATATATATATATATAGTGAGGACGCTCATTGATGTAATGCATTCCCTAGCCCCTTACCCCTTAACCATCAGAACTGAATGCCTAACCCCAACGCTTACCACACCCTTGAGGCCTTACCAGCACTTTTAAATATTTGAACTCTCTTTTAACCTAATCTAAACCTGAGTCTGAACCCTCAAACAGCCCTTTGAAGGTCTGTCCCAAACTGAGGAGCGGCCTAAATGTCCTCACTTTCCATAAAACGTCCTCCCAAGATCTTAAACTCAAATTAGTCCTCACAAAGATAGGTAATTACACATTTACATGTAAACCTGCATCCATCCTCTCCACATCATTGCCTTCCATAATAAAGTGTGCTGCTTTTCTAATTACACTGTCAACACACACACACACACACACACACACACACACACACACACACACACACACAGACTCTCTCCGCTGATCAGATCTCTGCAGTGCTGTGTGACTCTGTGAACCTATGTGGGCTGGTGGGCTTATATAACCTGGCTGACTTCAGCTGAGGTGAACATGCCAGCTGCACTGTGTGTGAAAAAGCCTTATCATGCTGCACTGCTTGCTCACAGTCTCTCTCCAGATGACTGGACTGTAAAATGTGTTTATCAGGACGTGTTTATCCGCTGATGTTCCTTCTGTGCTTATAGACACACAGCTGATCCGTCCGTCCCTGTGCTGTGTGATTACATATCTGTAAAACGATACGCACTGCTCAGGGAAGGAAGTACATGAACATGTTGGTCAATGAGTGCTTCTGCTCTGACTGATTCCAGGCCCCGAGTTAATGTATTTCTATGCTACTTTATACATCTACTCCAATACATTTCTTTAAAAGCTATATATATATATATATACTCGCATGCCCCTCTGTCCCTGTCTCCAGCTCAACTTCTCATTTGGCCCATGCATTTCTTAGGATCTCTCCAGTCATTGTCATTCTCCACCTGTCCACAAGATGCCCTCAAACTTTCCCACCTGCCCTCATTCTCCAATCACACAGTAACACATATTTTGCTCTGTCAGTTACCAGATTGTCAATGCTGCTTCTGCCTTTGCTTCCCAGCTTTTGAAACCTGTGACCTGAAGCAAAACAATCTCCCCACAAAGATCCATTTAGTAGCTGTTCTGGAGCTTTTGATTGTCCGGTCTTCCTCAGCAGATGGACCCAACTATCATGGAAAGCTGTCCAACTGGTGGTTCCACAATTTACATTTCCAAATTGTCACATATAGTCGCTTGGTTAAGACCACTTGGTTTCCCTTTTTCACGCCGTGGGTGCCATTTTTGGTTGTGTAGTCATGTTAACATCAATAAATATGCAACGTCTGGTTAGACTTTTGAGATAAAATTAGTGTTTATCATTGTGAAACGTCGCAATTTGGTTACGTTTAGGCACCGAAAGTACTTGGTTAGGTTTAGGAAAAGATCATGGTTTGGGTTAAAATAGCAAAATTACGTTTGTCACTTAACTTGCGCAGATTAAGTAACATTACTTGTTTAACTTAGTTTACTCGCGTAACTTAAATGAAAACATTTACTTTAAACTTTCTGTTTCACACGGGAAACAAACGTTGAAATTCCGGTTTCTTGCCTACCAGTCCAACGCAACCGCCTCCCGACTTTTTCAGATTTTTCTGTTAAATATCCTACTCCTATCGTTAGCGTTCAAAAGTGACGCTACAGGGATTCCCCTGACGCAAATGTGTCTTGAGCATGCGTCCATCTGTGATGATGTGGGAGTGAGAGTGTGTTTATTTCCATTGTCAAGAATGAACTTGAGAAATAAATGAATCTTTTTTGGTTCGTTTGACAAAACACACCAAAGTTCTCAAAGACAGCAGTGTTTAACACAAGCAGCATCAACTTAGATCGGTAAATGTCTGGTCAAAGAATATAAACAAGACCTCACAAAAACCTGACTTGGTACTTGTTAGACATTTTGGTCAGCACCCAGGAAATATTGAGGTTCAAGATCTAGCCAAACATTTTGGTTTGTCTGCAATCATCTGAGCTTGTTGGACTCAGGCAATGATACTGGTGAGCAAGGTATTATCATTAAACTCACACAAATAAAACACAGGTAACTTTGTTTTCCTTTAAGAGAAAACACATTCTTTTAAATCATGTAGCTGCTGTAAACTTTCACAGTAACAAGACTTCAGTTTGCATGTAAAGCCTCCGAATCCTCCTGTGACTTGTTAACATGAATATCAGCATATGGCCTTTTAGCCCGGGTGAGGTTTGAGCAGCTGGTTTGCATGACAGTTCAGTGACAGGCATATGGTCATGCCGGCATATTAGGCTACACACAAATAAATAAAACAATTAGACATGTTAATTCTTGAGTTTCTGAACTTTGGGAATTTGGTCTGGAGTGGAGCAGCCGTAAAACTTCTAAGTTAGACTGACTGTCCCATAACTGCAGCGTTCACTGGTTTGATCTGAGCAGCTGCATCTTGTTTTGTCACAGTCAGTCGAATTTTATTTTCTACACAGATGAATGAAATGTCGTTCCTCTCGGGGGCTGAGGCACAGAAACAACAACAAGGATGACACAAACAATAAAGGAAAAGAAATAACCAATAAAGCCAATCCTGAAGAAGCCTGCTGTGTATAAAAAGCGCACGTTCAACTGGACATAATGCTATTAAATATTATATAAACACCCATCGTTAGTTGGTCCCAGCCCTTGGGCTTTACTCCGGTACTGGCTGAGTAAATCTGGTACCGGGCCACAGAGAAAATATATGACTAAATAATAATTCTAAAACTTTACAGGCTGTTTTTGCAGGAACTTGGCACAGTGTGTAATGTAGTGTTCTTCATCACTCCTGTCACGTCCACAACAACATTATATTGATTTTAAATTAAATACAGGTCATGAGTATGCGAGGTAAACAGTTTCTCATCACCATATTCAAGCATTTAGGAGTACATGAAATCTGTGCGAGGACCTGTGTGTTGCTGAGAGGTCTATAAATGTTATTGTATATAAGTAACCACAACAAACACAGAATGAATGGTTTCTGTTTAGCTTCAATTTTATGGTTGGCTCTTTTCTCTCATATTTTCTAACTCTGTATCAAGACTTGTGTGCTGGGAGGCCAAAGAGAGAGCACACCTAAAGCAAATCTTAAACATGCATGATTTGAACCCACAAATGTCTGACCCAAGTTGGCCGTTCAGCAACAGAATGATCAATATAATAACAGTCCTCGGTGCAAAAGAGGTTGGAAACGCCAGTCCTGACTGAATGTGTATGATTTGAAAATATCTGACTTTTGTGACTCCAAGTATGGAAGTACAGATCTGACCCGGGGACTACACACTGAGGCTAAAACAACAATGATAATTTTCGCAATATATTTTTCCTCTATTACAGTATAACAAATGTTCAATAAATGTTTTATTTAATTCATTTAAATCATGAACAAATAAGCACTTAATTTTTCTATTAAATTAATTTTGTTGAGGACTGAAAATAGATATGTGATGGCAGTGATCCTTGGCATCACGTGTTTGTTATGTCATTACCTTAAAGAGTAGTTTGAAACCACAGTTAACCATCAGAAAAACCATCAGCTAAAATCTGCCTTTAAACTAAAGAAATACTGATTTGACATTTATTCGGATAAAACTTGATATCAAATGATATGAAACTTGTTATTGTGACAAAATTTTTGGCCCAGCCCTACTACACACACTGTGTGTAATTTTATAATAATAATAATAAAAATGTACACAAAGGAGCTTTAAATTATGAAATAATAGCAAAATAAATACATGAAACAACAACAAAATGTGTGATATCATTAAAATGATCAGTGGGGATAAAAGAACTGTAAGTCTCCGCGCCCTCTTGCTCTGATTTCACATACCGTGAACTCTCTGAGGTTTTCACATTTGTGCGTTTCCTCCCCATGCGGCTGGCCTCTCCTACACAGCTTGTTGTGGAGCCACATGAGCAGGTACCAGATGGACTTGGGGCTGGGGATGATGTTGAACGGAGGCGGCAGCGTGCCGCCCTCGTCAAAGTAACTCATCCACAGCTTGGTGCGGGCAAACTTCCACTCGATGTCGGCGTGGTCCTGAAGGAAAAAAAAGAAGACAGCTTGTTGAATCCACAAGGTCATGTCACAATGTGAGAGGTGATCTTTCTTGTTTTAAATGAAATCTGGTGAAGCAATTACAGAGACATAATTCTTAATAGATGTTACTAAGCTGTTCATTTAGAACAAGTGCAGACTACAGGACTTTCAGATAAGATACTGACTACAAGATCGTTCCTGTTGGAGAGATCGGGAGTTAATTGCAATACCGAAATTCTCATATAAAGCATTCGAATAACGACAATCTCACACAAATTAAGTCCAGGAGCCAAGTAAAAAACCCATTTCACGTAACTTCCTACAACAGCTCTTGTGGTAAATTAAGTCTTATGTCCGTTTCCACAGCACTCTTTTTCCTTCTGTACAACAGCAGTGATCACTTTTCTCCCTGATTGCTTTTAAGCTACAACATCAACAAAACTGAACTTTTTTTCACATTTAAATCTTATATATATATATATATATATATATATAAAAAGGGATGACTGCAAGACTTTTAATGTGAAAATTCAATGACAGTATTTTAGTTGAAATGATCTAATTTACAACGAAAACAGAGAAAAGCAGTAGATTCTCACATTGGAGAAGCTGGAACCTGCAAATCCTTGGGAAATTTACTGGACAAAGAGAATTAAATGTTGAGACTCACAGCGATGAGTTGGTAGGAGTTGTTCATCATGGCGATGAGCATGTTGAGCAGAACCACCAGCGAGATGACATTGTATGTCCCAAACATGGTCGCCCCAATGAACTCTGTGAACTCGTGCCGGGCTTTCACGTTGGTGACGTACAGGTTCAGCAGCCCGAATATCGACCAGAACAGAGACTGAAGAGTCTCAAATAACCTGAGGAACAAGAGACACTTTTTGTTTCCTTTCTAAAAGCACTCAGACACAGACAATAAAAGGACAACAAAGTCAGACATTAATTATGAATCAGACCTCAGAGGAAAAGAGAGGAAAACACAACTTAATGTGACACATACAAATAACTTTTAGAGTTTGAGTAGAGTTGTTACAGTACTTAGTTCACAGTGATTTTTTGAGTTTAAGATACACACTTCATGTTTCTTCATCTTTCTCAGGGTGTCTTCATGAGCAATCAACGAATTTAAGTTGATGAACCATTTCATAGACATTCAAATGATCACAGACGATGAGGCTGACATCAGGTTATTTGTATGTGACTCAAACCAAAAACAAGAAACAGTGATTACACGTCTTTCACACGTTAAGATGTGTCAGACAGAAGTTCCCTGTGTCTGTAAATCTGGGCAGAACAAACTAAACTCTGACGCTCATTTTCATGTGTCACGTCTCTCTAACTGGTATGAAGACCAGAGAAGGTAAATAACAGCAAACAGAAGCAGATGATTGCCTCTCACTCAGCTCAAGTCACAAGACAGTTTACAAGATTGGTCACGACTCCCTCAATCATCAAAATCCCTTTGATTGGAGGATGACAGATTACCAAAACTTTAAAGGAGCTACTTGCAAATTTGTAATACATGTGTCTTTTCCAGTATGAGTGTTGCTTATTCCACTGAGTAGTTGCTGGAGTTGAGGAAATATCCATGTTCAGGTATAAATAAATGTTGAGTAGAAAATCTTCAGGAGGAGTCAGGCAGATATGAAATGATATGAGACGTATCCTTGTGCAGTTAAACCTAAAAATGTATTTACTGCTTGATTTAAACTCAAAAAACTCACAACTGTGACAGTTCAGTTTGAAAAAATGAAACAACAACTGACCAACAGGAGACAGCCACTAAAGCTGAAAGAGGAGCTGGATGGAAGTGTCTTAGTGGTGTTGAACTAACACTACTTGGCACTTGATGGCACCAAAATGTGCATCTGGATGGTAACACACATACATGCCGGGGCAGGAAAACAGAGAGATCCATAGGCACTATAGAATATACCTACAGCAACACGTTTTAATGCAGTTTATGTCTCACCCCGGACACAAACTGTTTCAGAGTCTCCCCTCTGGCAAGAGGATGCGGTCCATCCGTAACAAAACCTCTCGCCACAAAAACAGCTTCTTCCCGTCTGCAGTTAGCCTCATCAACATCCCTCACTGACACTCCCCCATTTCAAATAATACAAATGTCTCTGCACACGTAATTATAATTTTTATAATGTAATATTTAATTTCACATCATGCACAAACCTGACACATTGCAGATATTTGTTGTTAGTTCTTGTTGTTTTATTTTTTATATTGTCAATTTATATATTTATGTACACAATATCCATATCCATACCAAGGCATAAGTAATGCACGTGTAAATATCTGCCACAATGTTCTTTCTCTGCAAATAGTTGTATTATTTTTCTCTATTCTTTTATTATTCTTATTTAACTTGCATTTGTTTATTCCATATTTATATATTTCTACATCTGTTTATGTCAATTGTATGTTTGTCTACGTGTAACACCTTATCACCAAAGCTAATTCCTCGTATGTGTAAAACACTACTTGGCAACAAAGCTCCTTCAGTGCCAAGGTCACTTAGTTCACCTTCACAGCAACTCTTCTTAGTCCCCTTCTCACGCCTTGCAACTAAAGGTGACCGGTCTGTCCCTTATTTTATTTTAATTGTCCTCTCTCACTTTTAATCTGATGTTGTTCTTATTTATTTCCTTTTAGCTTCTTTGAATTTCATTTTTATCGAGTACTCCATATTCCTTTTATTGATGTGTATAAGTGTACTAATGTTTTATTGTGTATTTAGATACACAATGGTATATACTCTTTGTTCATTTGTTAGTCTATACTTGTATTTGTGTGTGTTGTGTTCTTGGAAAGCACTGTTGTTTTTAAATGTGCTATATAAATAAAGCTGACTTGACTAATAAGCTGTAAAATAATTGACCTATATGGATATTTTTCCGGTGAGGACAGGCTGGCACAACTGAGTTTCAAAGTGTACTTAATGTGGACTGGCCACCTCTGACCGATACCTGATCCTTTTCACAGGAGTTCATTAAATCCGACTGTATCATATTTGCTTTTTGAATTGTTGTTGAAATTTGTGGGACAACTTACATTTTTAACAGCCACAAACTGGAATCTAGCACCAGAGTAATTTTTGGACTCTCTCTGTATGTTTCAGCCTCTCTCTCTTATCCATCCTCCTCGTCCCCCTCTCTCTGTCCTCCTTATTTTATTTCCCCTCTCTCCGCTCTGATCTGTCTTCTGTTTCTCTCTCTGCGTCTGTTTGTGTGACAGTCACAGTTACAGCGGAGGTTATTGAATTTTTGATGAAGCAACGATTGGCAGAATCCCGACACTACATCACAAGAGAGAAAGAGAAAGGGAGAGAGAGAGGTTTTCGTCTGCAGGGTGTTATATTTGTGCTGCATGAAATATTCAACGCTCCTACATTTATTGTCATTGCAGTGTGTGGTATGAATGTGTGCGTGTGTGTGTTGCTATAAGGTGTGTGGGTGTGAATGATCACTACATCACTGAGAGTGTGTGTCTGTATTTACAGCATGTGACTGATGGTGTGAATTTTCTGTATATGTAGATGTGCTTGGAAGTGTGTTTAGGTGTGTGTGTGTGTTACTGTGTGTGCTCGGAGAGCGAGAGACTGAGGCGAGTGTGTAAATGAAGAGAGAGAGAGAGCGAGAGAGAGAGAGAGGGGGGAATTTAATCAACAATGAATGAAGCAACCAAGCGTGATATTGCGTCGGAGTTATGAAACAAGGATGTGAACGAGATGGACTGAAAAGTGAAGAGAATCTCTCTTTAACCTTTCCTCATCAAACACGCTTTAATTAATCTCAAGTATCCGCTAATTAATCATTATCGTCTTCTATTCTTTTATCTTTCCTCTCCTTCTCCCTCGCCTCATAGTTCTTTCTCTCGTTTTTTCCTCGCAGTATTTTTAAATTTTTGTCCTCCTCTCCTTTTATCCCATGTCCTCTCATCTTTGTTTGTAAATATGTAAATGTAAATATTTCAGCTTAAAGGGACTATATGTAAGTTTTTCAATGAAATTAATCAAATTTTCATTGCCTTATTGTCAATGGGCTCAAAACTCACTTATAAATGAAGCACACGCCTGTTTTCTCTGTTTCTTGCATCAGCCAGTATTCTGCTTTTAATGTGAGGTCTCAGGGTCGAATTCAGCCCTGTGCGCGCTCCCGAGCCTCTCTCAGACTACAGCGACAACACAGAAGCTAACGACATGCAGTCCACTGACACCATAAAAGGCTCTACATAAGGATACAAAACAACAATAAAGATACAAAACAACAATAAAGGTTTATGTGCTGAAGCCCATCAGACCAAACAGGTTCAGATGATGTTCAGTAAGAACAAAGTGAGCATTAGTAAAGCTGGAGAAACAGAGAAAGTCACGTTAGCTCACCGGCTGACGCCAAGCAGTTGCTACTGTTATCCGGTCCAAAGTTATATTACGTTAGCTTTCCACATTACTTCACCAACTAACGTGACCCGTGTTACTATCCTGTGTACCACTGTTGATTTAGCCTGCAAGAAAGGATGTAACGGTAAAAAGCAAATGTGGAGCGATTTGTTTATGTTGTTTAACGTTAGCCTGTAGTGATGCAGGCAGGGGCAGCCAGCTATCGCTATATTAGCTCGGACCTGCTGTTTGTTTCGTAACATTCAGTTTATGTTTATTGTGGTTTTTGTATACAGTCAATGGGTTTTACCGATACTTAGGTACACAGCTTCTCCACCTCAATCGCTGTAACTAACATGACCCACATAACATAAAACCATGCAACAAAACGGCCACAACAACCCAGAGGAAGAGCCATCCACGAACCTCACCGCTAGTGGCCGCTGAAACATAACGCCCCTTTAACAAGAGGAAATTAACATTTTAAAGGTATTTCTGTTGCTTTTTTCAAAGAAAGCTGTTTTAAAAATTCAGTTCTCTCCTCTTCCTTTCCTCTCCTTGTTTGTTTTGTCTCCTCTGCTTCTTTTATCCTCTCATTTCCTCCTGTGTCATCTTCTCTCCTCTCCAATCCTGTCTCATTTCCTTGATTTTTCTCCTCTCAACTTCCTTGTTTCCTACCCTCTTCACTCCACGATTCATCGCATCTCCTCTCGTTTACTCCTCTCATTTCCTTTGCTTTCCTTGTTTCCGTTCCTCTCCTCGTCCACTTTTATCCTCTCATTTTCTTCTCTCCAATCCTTTCAATCCTTTGTCTTTCTTTGTTTTCTCTCCTCTCACCTCCTTGTTTCCTCTCGTTTACTCCTCTCCTCAGCTTTCCTTGTTTCCTTTCCTCTCCTTCTCCACTTTGTTTGTCTCCTCTCCAATTCAGCCAATTATCCTTGTTTCCTCCCCTCTCTTCTCCACTCCCTTCCTTAATTCCTCTTTTCTCCTCTCACTTACTCTTCTCTCCTTTCCTTGTTTCCTCTCCTTTCCCCTTTCCCACCTCCTCTTGGATCATCTCCTCTACTGTCCTTGCTTATTTGTCTTTTTTAAAAGTTGAATGGCACAATGTTGTTCTTACAGCTCCAGAATATAATATAAGCCTCTCTATAAATAAATATAAATAGATCATATAAATTATGATGAGTTGCGTTTTTTGTGCTTTTCAGTTACAGATCATTAGAGGGAGTTTTCCATATCAGTCGAGTCTAAAAGTTTGCATTTTTTTTAGTTTGTTCTAGTTTAAAAATGTCAATGTTTTCCAAGGAGACAAACAAGTTTTATATAGTCATCAAATGTTCTGTTATCTCCTTTTCTCTCATGTCCTCTCCTTTCCTTGTTTCCTCTCTTCCCCATCCTCTCATTGTTTTCTTTATTCTCCTGCCACCTCCTCCAATTATATTCTCTCATTCTCTTTCATTGTTTCCT